AGAGAGAGAGAGAGCGAGAGGTTCCTTACTCGATCTCTTCCCCACCTCAATAATACCGAGGGGGAATGTAGTCTTCTGTGGCATGTCCACTCCACATCTCAGGGGAAGTTTTCTCTACCCGCTTGTCATGCTATGGCTGCCTTGGATACCCTTTCTTGAGTCTGGAGTGCCCTGAGATCGTACAGCTGGAGTCAAGGGGGACAGCCTTTTGCAGTAGGGTACCGTTCTAAGATGCCGATGCTCAGGGGGAAGGGGTTGTAGGGTCCGTTAGCCTTGCATCGGTAGCTTCTTGTTTTCCGGAAACCGAGCATCGANNCGCGCCATCCGGCGCGGGGAGCCTAACCTGCTCCCTGTACCCCGGAGAAGAAGAAGAGAGCGAGAGAGAGAGAGAGAGAGAGAGAGGGAGGGAGGGGAGAGAGGCGAGTGTTATTTCACCTGGCCACAAAGCCCCTGACTTTTAAGGGAGTCCCACGTGGCGTGGTGACTCAAGCCGTACCCCATGCACTGGAGAAGAAGACGAGTGTTAGTCAGTCGGTCCCGAGTATTCGTTGTAATTACTCAGTTGCAGGGAAATTCAACTGACTCTGAGCCAGACGGTTGTAGGGAAAGCAGAGCTTGGTCCGACGCGACGGTTTTCTTTTGAATCTTGTCTCTGATAGCCGTTTGCAAGTCTTGCCTGCAGATGCATGTAAAGAAACCTTCCTTTCGGGACCCTGCGAGGGCACACATTTGACAACGCCGGTTCCACCGTGAGCTTTTTATTGCTCAAAGCGAATTGCATGTTGTTTTCCGAAGGCCCCTAACGGCCGCTTCAATGCCAGTATACATTCTGGCTAATTAGCATGGCCAGCTTGTGTCTGCTGCAGCAGCGCGGGCGCAAGCTGGTACAAGAGGTCGGCTTGGAAGATGTGGTGGCCGTGGCCTCCACCGCGGAGTGTCCTGGCAAGCAGCTTCGTCTCGACTGCAAGCCTCTAAACTACTTCAGAGAGACCGATTGAAAGAAGACGGCGACGTCCTCGACTCGGGCTTTCTTTCGAGTAATTAATGCCCTCGACATCTTCAGCAATCACCTCGTGCAGTTTCGTATTCGGGCTCTGCAAACCTTTTCTTGTGCTGAACGAGCCGAAGGAGAGAGGCTTCAAAAGATCACTGTATTGCCATGCAACAGCTTCATCTAGCTAAACGTGGAGGTCATAGACTAGGGGCTAGTCCATGCTACTCAGCACTAACCATCTGAACGTGTCTTATGTTTCGGGTTTACATCGTTGTGGTTCGCATCCTTCTTGCGACGATATCACTGGAGATCGCCGGTGAAGAAGAGCGTGATTCTGCTCGTGGTTCTGGGACGACGGCGATGTCGACAACCATGGTTCTGGAAATGACGACGTTGATTCCGATTGCTATTGCTTCTACTGTGCATTGTTCTTGTTTGTTGTGAGTGTGGAGGTGGAATCACATTCTTAGTGCTTAGGTTTACATGCGGAAGTTTAGGACGAATGGTTGATGACTGGACAGTACATATCTGCCTTTAGAGTCAAGCCGCGGATCACCCCAAGGCAAGAGCTTCGCACATCGGTTTTTGAGCTTCTGGGCTCCGGTCACCTTTTGGAGGCTCCAGTGCTTTTGCTCTGAGATAGATCGGTGTAGAGCTGAACGGATGCAACGGGAGAGAGAGAGAGAGAGAGTTCGTACGAGGTTTACGCTTCAAATGGTTTGGGCTTGGGGAAAGGTGGCAGTCTGTGACGGTCGAATCCTCCCTATCCCTCGAGTGCTTCAGGCCATTCTGGATGCATACGGTATCGATGGCCTTTACAAGAGGACTTCCATCGTTGAGACTGCTACACGCAGTGGCCAACAGTGCAGTGCTGCCTGCTTTGCGTCACAGTTCCCGGGATATACACGACCATCATTCGCACTTGCGCACACGTGAAGTTACCGGTTTAAGGATCCGCGAATTGCTGATACCATCAAATTTCTTAGACTTGGTATACAAGGGTAACCTTTATGGAGCTCTTGTCTTCGGAGATCCTTGCTCTTCCCAGTCTGGCAATTATGGCATTATCAAGAAGTCCGAATCCCTACCGTCGGAGGCCATCAATGGCGGCTTCTCTCTGGCCACGATATCACTCTCTGCGCCATGCCCGTGGGTTTTCTTTTATTTCTTTAGGATCCATTGAGGGGCTTGTACAGTAGGGTCTTCTAGAGGATCGTGTCGTGGCCATGGCTTTGCACGAGTGAGATTCTGTGTCCGGTGGCCATGTGGGCCATGTGCAGTTTTTCAGGCGGTTTGGCAGCTCGTTTTCAGACGGTTGAAGGTTGCCGGCCACGAAGATGCAAGCCGGGCAGCCAGCCAGTGCCTGCGCTCCATGGAAGGTCAGTTGCCTGCTGATCCCCGTGTTTCTCGAAGCCTCTGGCTGCAAGGCTCGGCATTCCAAGTCAGTTCCGGGTTTTGGGAGGGTTTTGGTAGATGGGGTTGCGCTGAACCATGCTGAACCTCCCGGCTTGCCGTTTCGTGGGGAGACCGTGAAAGACCTGCATTCCGATTGCATCGGTTAAGCACCTCCAAAGGCACTAGTCACTAGGTAACCTGCCAGATGCCTGGGCCTGGAAAGCCCAAAGCAAGAAGCAGACAAGAACCCACTCTCTCACCTGCTGCAGACGGGTGGGGTCCTGTCCTCTGACCGACGAGCTCTGCGTGTCGTCTGGCTTGGGCAGTGGGTCCTCGCTACCATAGCCGCTCAGACTTAACCAGGGATCTTGTTGTTTATGTCAGCCGTGCTGAGTTCGGAGCGTGCCTGGCCAGCAGGTTCTCGTCCACAGGCCCGAGGTAGCCGTAAGTTGCAAGGAAGCCGCCCCAAATATGCCAGCATGGTTTGGAACCTTGCACGTGAGCCGCAGTGTCCAGACGCGGAGATAGGGCACTAGCACGCTGTCCTGGCAGTGCGGGTCCATTTCTCAGGACATGACGATTCTTACCCCTGTGTCCTACGACTTGGTGCAACAGAGACTTGGCTTGTCCCGGTTTGCATAGGGGGAGAACGGAAGCTTGAGGGCGGGGCGAAGGCGTTGCTTAGACCAGCTCCCTGTAAGTCGCAGAGCAGCTCCACACATCCCTCAGCTTTCTCAGGACTCGGGACGGAAGCTGCTAGCACGGAATTCTCCATGTGGGTCTCAGGTGCCAGCCCAACCCCTCCCCCAATCACAAGAAACCTGTGAACTTGCGAGAAGCGCAAGCGGGAGAAGCGCTCGTGCAGCTCAGACACAGTCTTCTTCCTTTGGCAGCCAAGGCTGGGGTATGGAGCGGTATCTTCTGGATTCTTGCTCTCCGCACCGCAGGCCCCCGTGCAGAAGACGTGCCGTGTCAGATACTCTTCGGATGCGGCATAGCCGGCAACAGCTCGGCTACGCTTGTGCAGCAGAAAGTTGAGCCCAGCATCTCCGCTGCTGCTTAATTGTGCTGCAGCCCCACAGAGCTAAGTAGGATAATAGGGCCAGTCACCGGTCGTGTTGAGGATGAGCGTTTACCGTTTTGCGCCAGCCCACAGCTGCCTTTGCTTCTGCTGCGCTCGACAAGCTGTTGTGACAGGTTTTGCAGCCCATGGGCGCTATTCTGTCCCGGCTGATCACAGAAGGCCGGAGCTACGCCTTCTTGCGCCGCTTCATCGTGAGCGGCCTGTGGCTTGGATTGCTTTGGGCTGGATGCAATGGAGAGCTTTCATCAATTTGGCCCCTGAAAACTGCAGGCTGAGGTGTTGCTTTAGCTGGTGCCACTTCAGCAGAGAGAGAGAGAGAGAGAGCCCCGATCTTTCGAGCCCGAGGTATCTCCAGGCACTTTTTACATGGTCTCTCGTGCCAGTACTGCATCGATGCAACGCTTGGTCGAGTGACTTGTTTAAAAATCATCCAGGCATTGCGTGCGTATTTCAGGAGGACAGCTGATGTTCTCAGCCGTTCTGAGATCGGTGTACGCGAACTTTGAATCATAAGAAGTCTTGCTGGATGGACTGCCAAGCTTCTTCAGAATCAGCGGTCGACAGGAACATGCTAGAATCTGCTCACAGCTGTGCTCGCAGACCCTGCTGAAAACAGGCTTTCTTGCGCCCTGCTATTTTTTGCCGGAAAGCACGCGGAGGTGTGCTCACCTTTTGGCCCTAGAAGAGTATGGCGTCCTGTGTTTTTCCATGACTAAGGTGAGATTGTCCTCGGATCTACAATTCTGTTGCGATCTTGTGGAGGTTGGAGGGCTGGGACAGCACCTACACAGCCTAGACTTGCCAGAAGTCCTGGCACCAGAGTTCACAGAGCCCGTGAGACCCTACATGCCCGGAGTTTACCTGGAGCTCGGCATTGGTGCAGGGATGATGCTGATGATATATGGAGTGCCACTGAGCACCATGGTGCCTCGACGCCAGCGTTGTGCAGGGAGTCAAGGGATCAGGTCGACAACGAGCTGACTCGTTCGAGTACTTATTTGTTTGACTTCACAACTTGCTGAGTAGAGTAGAGAATTCACACTGCGGCAGCTCTTCCCAAGGTTTACCAGTATGCAGCCTCTGCCGAGAAGCCTTGTCTGTCCATCGGCCTCTACTTGGCCATGTGCCTCGGCCGCAGCTTGCAGAGGCCTTGGCGTATCGGAAGACGGGGACCTGCACTGCGGCTAGCATCATCATTTCATATCATTTCAACGTTCACAAGTCCTCAATCAAAGGGTTTTTTGACAAACCAGCAGTCTTTGGATGTCTTGGTGTCGCGTGTTGCCTGCGGCAGACGAGCAGCAAGCGGTCCAACTACTTCTTACGTACGATCGCTGCATACTGATTGGCTGAGGCATGCCATGCAGGATTTTAAGTAGGAATTTGGTCGAACATCTGGATTTTCGAAGGGGGGAGTGCACACGATTTTGCGACGCTGTCCAGAGAAGACAAGAGGGACGAAGTTCGGCATGGCAGGGAGGATGGTGTTTCCGAGCTTCGGTGCCGCTTTCTGGTTTGCTCGTGTCCTGAACACACACACAACCCCTGCATGCTGCCTCCCTGGGTGGGTTTCGCTCAAAAGTTTCAAGAGTACGGGTGGGAGCCCACGAATATCATCAAACGATTTGTCAGCTTCAGCGACTTTTGAAGCCTGCCCGACATCCTAACAGCCCCAACAACGCAAAACCCGGAACCATCCTGGAGATTCTTCTCCAAAGTCCCCCGGCAAGAAGCCACCTGAAACTCCTAAACTTTAGCTGGGACTTGTCGCCTGAATTCGCGTCTGCTTTGCGAGTGTGCGAGTCAAAACTCCTGAACCTTCTTGGAGCTCATCGGGCCAAAAAAGCGTTTCCACGCATCAAACATAATCGGGATTGGAGATTCAGTTCGTCCTGAACTGTCTTCCCCGATATCTTACTATGATATTAGTAATACACTATATATTCTAGCATACTAAATTACATGTTAACATAACCTCGTACACTTTGATAACACCATAAGCAATTTCTCAAACATCCTTTTGACCGGACGCCCTGTAGCTCTTCAGCCGTTTTTTGGCCGAGGAGCCTCGGGGTTTGTTTGGGGCCCCTGGTGAGCTCCACGGCCTCATTGGGGCTCTTGAACTCCGTCGAGTCTCTTGGGTTTTGCTTGGGGTTCGGGGTTTGTAAACGGGTGTAGGGCCTGGGGTCAGGATTTCGGATTTCGGGTTCGAGATATCGCGAGGGGGGCGGTGTTGGGCATGGCAAGGAAAAAACGGGTTTGTACCAGGCGCAGCTGTCATCGCACCTCCTCTTGTTGGCAGCCTGGTCATTGTAGAGGCTTCAGTTCATGAAGGTAAGTGGTAGTCAACGCCTGATCACACCTGTCTACATCAGTCATGATTTTGAAGCAGCCCAGTTGCAAATGACGGAGCACCCCATTAGGGGAGCCGTAACACCGGCGTACCACTAGGAAATCATTGCCTGAAAAGCTGGACGTTGCGCACAGCTGCGACCGCAAGGTTCCGTCCTCTTGACGCTTGGCCAATACCAGCCCAGCCAGGCCTTGTGTCACAGGTTCACATGCCTTAAGCCCAAAGTGACTGCTGCTTTTTGCATACGGAGTCTGTTTAGAAAGTTTTCTGCTCTGCGACCAAGGCACTCCCAGGGTTGACTATTGGAGCAGTAGCCGCTCCATTGAATAGGTGTTTGCCGAACTGGGGTCTTGGTGATGTAGTGTCGGACATGGTTGAATAATTGTGCTCGCATCGATGTGAATCTCAGGTGTCTTTTCGTTGTTCCGTGGTCCGCAACTGCTTGGGTCATCAGAGCAAACCAGACTGAATCGGTTGAATTCTAGGGTTGGGTGACAAGCTTTGGGTGGGTTTGAGCCCTCATACAACCATGCGGTTCTGATCCAGAAACCCAGATCCTGAGATCCGGCTCTCGAGAGGGGATGATCACTCAGTTGAGTTCACTGAGTTGAGTTCTCTAGGAGAAGCCGTCGCGCTGCGTGGTTGTGGCAGTTTGCCATGATTCTTGCCCTGACAGGTGCGTTTCCAATCGCTACATGCCTTGTTGATACCAGCTCTGATTTCTGTTTCTATTGGTTTGATGGCGACGACGTAACCCTTGCTTCCAATCGACCTTGTAAGCGCCTTGACCGTTGTGCGTCTTATTGGTACGACTAGAGAACCAAGCTGTTCGGAGCTTCCTTGCTGCAGGCGTGCAATGCTGGCGCACGAGCCGTGCAGCTGATGCTTGGGCTTGGTTTCTGCTTCTTTCGCTTGCACTGTATTGAAAAATCAATGCTCGTGGGGTAGTTGGTAGACTGGTAGCTATGTAGCTCATGACGGCCCCGCTTGGTTTAAGACACCAAAAGAAGACATGTTGTCAGCCATGACTCCAAGCCGTCGAAGCCCTGCTAAGCTTGAAAGCAGAGGATGGCCCTACTGTGGTCTTGTGAAACCCTACTGGCTGCTGCCCTGCTACCACAGGAGATTGCAGGCACCCGGAACCACGGGCACCCGGATTTTGGAGAATTGTGATTGAAGAAACATATTTTCAGATTGTCTCTTCTGAACAGTTGTTGTCTATGAGTTGCCGAAGGCGTCATGCCAACGGTGTGAACTTCGAAACGAAGAATACAGCCTTAAGGACGGACTAGGCTACAGTTTCGGCCAAAGTCCTTGAACTGCGGGGCTTTTGAGCATCTGCAATCCTTGCAGCAGAGCATCTGCCCCCTAGCAGGGCCCTAGCCGAACCAATTATGATCAGGGGGACTTCGCAAGTGCTGAATGGGCTGCTCGCGTTTGCCAGCTCCGGTTTTGTATGGTTTCGGTTGCCGGGGAACCACATTTTCCAACAATTTTGTGCACTTGCGACAGTGCCTTGGACAGTTTGCCAGCCTATCCCGCACCGTGCCGGTAGCCTTCTGATTATTGCAAATCTGGATGCGAAGCTCTTCACCGCCCTCTGCCACACTACAGGATCCAACGACGATAGCCACTCGAGGGCGCAAGACCGTGTAGATTCCCAGATCGTCGAGGACCTGGTGCGTTTGGCTTACCTTAAAGTCCAGAGGTAAGAGGTGCCGTCGAAGAAGTTTTTTCGGAGTACAGGTGTGTATGAGATTATGGGCGTCTCTGTTTGCATGCGGGACTTCTGCACGAGCCTAAGTTCTTACTTACTTCCCTGTGGGCCTGCTGACATGAGCACTAGTCATCACTAGTCACTGGCCACACTGGGACTTTGGGGATACTAGGGTTCTTTCATGCACGGAACTCATTGGCCTGTGACGGGAAGAAACACAATCCTGGAACATGTAGTGGCAGAATATCGCTTCGGCTGTACATGAGTTTCTGATTTGCCACCCATGCCGTGTGGAAGCCAAGTTCTTTTGCAGAATGTAGTGCTTCGTAGCCAGATCTTGATGTGGAGAGCAGAACTGATGCTAGAATCTAGAACCACTCCCATGTTGCTTCCTCGATGTCAACTGCGGTTCGGGGTATCAGGCCGTTGCAGTCCAGGGAGCTTCTCTGTGCAGGAGCTGCCGATTTGGCTCCGCAAAGCTTTGGTTGGGCTGACGATATTGTATCTCGGCTCTTGCGATAGCTACTGCAACTTGGGCAAGACACTCTTCCCGCATGGGGCTTTGTGATGAGATTTCACGACGGACTATTTGCGTCAAGTCGTGCTCGCAGAGTGCATCTTGTAACCATTGTCAGCGTTGGCACCGTCCTCACCACCACAGTTGCGAAGAACTGGTGTGGGGCTTATAGGAATCCATGGACCAGGTTCTCTGCTGGACGTTCTTTGGGCATCTCAGCTATCGAGGTGCTGTGGGGATGATTGCTGCGACTCGACATTCAGGGCCAGGGAAGCAAAAGGTCTGGCAAGCTGGTATGGGTAGTTACTGTCTGACAGTGGTTAACTGCTATCGTCTCTGAAGAAGGTGATGCTAGTCATGGACCTTCGCAGTTGGTCGGGAAGGGGAAGTGGCAGCCGATGCTGCGAAGCACAGTATGTGAGACGCTCTCTCTCTGCTAAGCCCCCTTTGAGCTTTTTACTCAAAGGCGGCTTCGTGTGATGGGGAAACACGGCTCGGTCAAGGCAGTATTGGCACCCAGGTCGTTGCGATAGCTGTCCAACCTAAAAACTAGGTACAGCAGTGCACTGTCTCTAAATCCGTACTCGTGACTTGCTCTGCGCGGCCGCAGTGAAGAGTCACAGAGCGAGCGACTGAAATGTTGAAGAGGTTGCCACAGCCTTGCTCCTCGAGTCTCAGTATGGGTGGACACCGGCCGCTCAATGCAAAAAGTGTTTCCTGTAAGTTTAGGTTTGGAGGACTTTGACGTTTTGCGAGTTGGTCCGGGCAATCGCCACCATGGAAGCAACCATGAAAAGTCGAGAAGTTGCTGGGTGTGTTCTTGCCGCTGACAGTTGAAAGCTCCTTCTAGGATTCTAGGCCATTCTAGGCTCCAGCTTGACGGTTGTGGCACGAGACGAGACCGCTGCACAACCCGGCTGGCATACAGTAAGTGCAAGAAGATGACTCGAAAGTAAGGATGCTGCTTTGAACTGTCACTTTGCCTCAAGGAACACACCAACCCATGTACACATTTTCTTCGCCCAAATATTCCGCCATTCAATAGGTGCAATACGCAAACCAAGACAGGTACTTGTTTATATGTGTACCTTATGTACATGAACATGCTGTTTTTAAGGTTACGTTTGGACGTATGAACGTATGTTTGCACCACGCATATCTTTGTCGTGAAGTTCCCTTTCATTCCAAGCTGGATGGGCCTGACGTAGAGTTCCGACAGCTTAATCTCTTGGTGAGCATTGCCAGAGTCAGTGGCAAGCTCCTCCTCGTGGCTTTCTCGTCGACAAGTCTTGATTGGAACGTAGGGCACTCTCCGAAATTTAGAAAGTTTGCCTCTTGCTTCCTTGATGTCATACATACCCCGCAAGGAGAAAATTGGATACGCCTTAGGGGCCGTCTTTGCCCTGACAGCGTCTGCAGGCATGGGTTCGTAAAGCAGCAGAGAACCCTTCGTACTATCTAAAGCGCGGGCATGGTGTCGATGAGATGATGCAAATTCGGAGCAGAGTCGAAGAGTTCACGGGTTGCTCCCTTGTCCTTCATTTTCAAGCATGCTTTGCTAAAATCCTCCGGAAGTCGGGAGCTTTGTTGCAGTCAACTGTTCCGCGAGGGCTTCTGGTGGCCATGCTGCGGAACACATTGCTGCACCTTGGCCAGAAGTAGGAGCCTCCAGCCTTCAAGCCGAATCATCAAGTTTCCGATGGAAAGTGCAGCTGGGTCTCTGGCAACTTCTGCATCATGTGCGAATTGAGGGTTGCGGTGAGCTCGAAGGGAAGCCGACCTAGGGTCCGCCAGTGACGCCAAATGAGCAATTCTTCGCCCAAGCTTTCGCAGCCATTCCGCCCAGTAGCTCCAAGTCCACAGCAAGGTCCGAGTATGTTCTGATGCTATCCCTGGCCTTCTTCAGCATTGTCGGCTCGTTGCTTTTTTTCGACTTCGGGGGCGGAGCGCTGCAACTTGGTCCCCATCAGGAAAAGCAAAGATCATGTTGTGCGGAATTGCAGAGCTGTGCCTGCATCAGTCTTCTGCCTTAAAGGATGACGGAAGCACAGAACTGCACGAACCCTATTCCACGAATGTCATCGCGAAAAAGCCGTTGCACTGATTGAAGATGCTCATATTCCCAAACATCAACTGGTAGAGCCTCAATTTGTCGAAGATGCAGTCTGCCCCTGCGTCAAGGCAGGGCGTGCACCACAGCTCCCCGTTGTTGCTGATGACGGCAGATATGCTGGTGACTTGGCCGTAATCGTGCAACATGTGTTTTGGACCACGACTGTACTATGGTATAGTCCTAGTACTAGACGACGTCCTTTGGTTCAACAACTAGCTGCCTGAACAGTCGGGATCGAGCCTTTTGAGGTGTATGCCTGCATGTTTCAGCTCACTGCCTTCATGGAGGGCATTGCGACGCAAGCCGCGGTGCCAGTACCCGGGCCTCAATTCAGTTGAAGCCCAAAAGCCTTGGCCTGGTCCCGGGGAAATATGTCCAAACTTGTCAGAGTTCCTCAGGAATGTAAGGGCGCGAACGCCCATTGAGAGCGCGAAGTCCTCGCGAGAGACATTCGTGACACGCGGGAGACTTAGGACAGCACCTTCAGCCTGGAAAACTTCATCGTCGTGCGGAATCTGGCCATCCAGATGCTCAGCTGTAACTTTCGGTTGCGGCTATCCGGCTATGCGTCTGTTCGGTTCCATGATTCGGACCAGCACTCAGTAGCCATTATGCCCACACCTCGAAGTTGAACAGTGACGGATTCAGCTGGTCAAACTTTGAGTAGTTTGATATGCTGATTCCGGGCCCTGAAGACGTGCTACACATTGAAGTTCCAATCGGAAGAAGTTCTAGGGTGTTTCTCCCAAAATAGCTCGCTTTCCCAGGGTGTCATATTGGCGCAGAGCTACAGATGCCTATGTATGTAGCTCATAGCGAGCTGGAGGGTTCGAGATGAGTTTTGAAACACCGGATACCGCCTTAAACTTCGCCTGACCTCGTCGAGTGCGAGTACCAAAAAATGAATGAATGTATGTATGTATGTATGTATGTATGTATGTATATAACAGAACATACCTGTACCTTCGATACGTATATAGTATTATGGCTATGTATGTACGTACGCATGTATGTATGTATGTAGGTAGGAAGGTAGGTAGGTATGTATGTATGTGTGTATATATACATACATACATACATACATACATACATACATACATACATACATACATGCACATGATGGACAGACAGATGCATAGATGGATATATACACAGAACGGCAGATAGACTGGTAAGTCGAAAGATAGATAGATGTATAGATAGGTAATTAGAGAGGCGGATAGCAGAAAGAACGGCAGATAGAAATGTAGGTAGATAGCTAGAAAGAGGGGTGGAGAGACAGAAAGACAGATAGAAAGGTAGTAGAAGGATCACACATATATAGAGCTTTCCGCGTGGGTATACATTCTACATGTATACTTACACAGCTGTTTCCCTGGCGTGACTTGTCTGCGAATCTGAAGCTAGATCATGAGTCTTGCGTATTGTAGCTGCTACATGGTAGCCGCCCCTGATGCTTATGAATTAATCTGTGCATTGGCCAGTTGACTACTTCGCGCACATTTTCGTCCTTCACATCTCTAAAGCCCTAGCATGGCTCTCATCTACTCAGAAGCACAGACACCGAAACAATGCAGTTCTGCACGGTCGGTTCCTTTACATGTCGACACAAGCGGGGTTGCCCGTCCAGTTCCAGGATGCCCCGTGCTCTGGGACCCCTGATGGCGCGCTGGATGATCGATGCTTTCGGCCGGAACTTCTATGCTTCGTGGCTGAGGGCTTCAGTATCTTCTGTGACAGGTGCTCGTAGAATCGAGCTTGAACGCAACATAGGCAGGGAAAGGGCTTTGCGACCGAATGTCGACGAGGCCGTGGACTTGGGCCTGAAGAGCTTTCCAAGTCGCCGAGCTCTCCTAAGGCTGGCTTTATGCTCGTCTTGATGCTGGTGGCGGTGTGGGCTGTCTGCTATGCAGCAAGCCGTGCCAGAAAGCCCAGTGGGCCGAGTGCCACGGCGGTTTCGAGCGCAGCAAAGGAGGTCTCCTAGACCCAGCCTGCCGGGTAGTTAGGACATTGCGATACTTTGCAATGGTGTCACACTTCATAGACTGGCTTTCCAGCGTGTCTAATCTTCCATCGCAAAGAGATCGAACGAGGATGGTGTCTCGGTGTCTCAACCCGACCCATCCGCCCCCTCCCTCATTAGGCGATGGCAGGTGATCCCAAATATTTCCATACATTAACCCGTACAGATTTCAACAAGCCGTGTCCCTCATCAGGCGATGGCCGGCCGGTGCCAATGGTCCAATATTTCAAAATTGCCCAGTCATTGGCTTAAGCCAGTTATACCTGGCTTCCGGCAGGATGTTGTCGAGGGTTTGGGTTATTCTGGCACCTCTTCCCGTAGACCCGAATTCCCATCTACACATGCCCTAAACTCCAGATCAAACTCCAGGTCGTGGAGACGCCCGAACCCGTGCCTACTGAGAGCGAACGTGCGAGTCGAAACGCCAGATAGTACGAACGCAAATCCCCAAATTGTACGCTTTAGAACTCAAAACATTGCAAAGTGTTGAGCACTGCAAGCGTCCAAACTCTCAAACTCAATGCCTTCCAAGATTTTAAGAATCTTTCGAAGTCTGACGAGTTCTAAATTCAACACTTCAACCTTCCAGTCGGTCGAACTTTCGAACGGTCAAACTCTCAAGCTTTCAATCTCAGGCTTTCAAACTTTCAAACTCCTGCAAACTTGAGCCTGGAAGGCGCCCCGGGCACTTACTTGCGTTCTCCACCTTACGTCCGTCGCATGGCACCCGTCGCCGCGGCTTCAAACATTCAATAACGGATTCTCCTTCAAACGTATCAGACCCTGGGCTGGAGTGTCATGCGTGGACCCGTAGGAAGCTATGAGATGCTATGAGAAGCCAGGATCACGTGACGGAGATGGCCAATGCCCAGAGGAGAGCTGAGGCCAGTACACGCAGAAAACTGATGGTCAGGAGAGATGTATGTGAGAGCAATATGACATGCGATTAGAAGCTCATGTTCAGCATGATTTTGTATGACCCATGGAGATGGTTGTTTCCGAACCGTATCTCTGTGCTGAGGATGTTGGTCGAAGCCTTCAGGACCATCTGGACCAGCTTGCCGAGCGAAAGCCTTAGCCAAGATTCAAGACTCAAGGTTGAGTGAGCAGCAGTCGAGTCCCTTGTGAAAAAAATGTTGAGCGAAAATCGAGACAGGTAGAGAGCTCTTAGCCCTATCCCCCCGAAACACTCCGCCTTGTCCGAGTCTGTCAGATGTCACAGCCTCCTTAAGGCTGCGTCGGATGCTGCGGCAAGCGCAGGTCGGACCAACGAGGGCGCTCTACACAGCAGTAGAGATATCTAAGTGTAGCACTATAGGTCCTAAAGGTCACACTCTGCTTAGCACACTACCTTGCTCAACTTCCATGCATGTTAAACATTGCTGAGCGTTTTTTGGCAGCACCCATTGAAGATGGCCGTTTAGCAATCCTTTCCCAGCCCCGATGAGCAAGCCTGCCAAGCCTTCGAGAAGCCCTTCAGCGACAGGGGAGCTCTTTTCTTAAAAACCCTGAATGCAGAGTGTGGTACAGCCGAGCTGCAATGCAATTGACACCTTAACCGAAAAGCAGAAGACACACATCAATTCAACGTCGAGAGATGTGGAATCTGAAAGAAGGAATTGGCTACAAGGGCGTAGAATCAGATTGTGGCTGTGGAGCAACCGCTGATCAAGTAGACACGGGGGCTTGCAATCAGAAGAGGTTTATGGTAATTGGTTCTGGAAGGGTTGTAGAGAGCAAACTCTGGCGAGTTTCTGAAGGACAATTTTGCGATTCTGGGCTGTTCCAACTTGTGGGAACCGGAGGGCGGCGAATGGTGGGCTGACAGCAAATTGCAAAATGAGGGTTGGGAAATTGGAAGAAGTGATGGGGACACTTTGGAATGAAGACATTGGGTTTTTGACGCTTCATGTGCTACGTCAGGCGGATTTGGCAGAAGAGCTTGCAAAGGCGCAGGACGTCATGTTGGGTTTGTAGGCTCAAGCTCAAACAGGCTGACGGCACCAGGAATGCTAGCCGAGTCTGTGCCGACCCCCGTCGAGTCAGGAACACATGAGTCAGGAAGGTCTTGGAGCAGAGTCAGGAACCCGTGTTACTCTTAACCTTGGCTGTTCCGGACTCTGCCCCTGTCTTGTTCCTGACTGCGCCGCCTTTGTTCCCAACTCTGCCTCTCTCTGTTCTCCGTTCCTGGCGTGCTGCCTGTTTGTTCTCGACTCGTGCGCCTGACTCGCCTCCCATCCACATCCACAGCACAAGCTCCGTGTACGTCTGCGTTCAGATTGTGTCTTCTGTTGACAGGAGCTGGAACGCAAGCGGGATGCACTTCGGCAAGAACAGGCCATGCACCCGCCTGCAGGGGGCAGGAGGGCAGGGGTTTCTCACAGTTTGGGGGATGGGTGCAAGTAGGCTTCTTCAAATGTGTGCAGTGGTCCTGTTTTCAGGTGTTCTTGTGCATTGGGTGTATATCTTACGAACCCGAGCCCGCAACTTCAAGTTGGATCAGGCAGATCTTCACAGCCAGATCGCACTGCGCGAGCAGGAGTTCCAGGACATGGGCCCGGATTCCTTTGAAGCACCACGAAAAGAAGTATAGCATTAGCGGTACTTAGCATTAGCGGTAGCAGTGGCAGTGGCAGTAGCAGCATAGCAGCAGCAGCAGTAGTGGTGGTGGTAGTAGTAGTGGTCGTCGTCATCACTTTGCATGATCTGTCTCTCTTTCCCAGGAGCTGCGATCAAATCGTGACGACATTGATCGACAGCTGTCCCGGGCCCTTGAACTCAGCCTCGGGCCGGGGTAAGCCGGCATCATGTTAAGATATGCTGAAGTTGCACTGGGATATGCTACTTGCAAATCTGGATTGCGATGTTATGACCTTCAAAGCCTTTCATGTTTTGCAGCAGGGCTGGCATCACAAGTGCAGCGCAGGACGCACGTTGCACGTGCATGCTTAGTAGCGAGGCTTTACCAGGATTTGTCTTGAGGCCAGTTTGTGCCTTGAAGAAAGACTGCAGTCGTGCCCTGCAGTCATCCCGTAGTATTCAATTTCAGTTTTTAAGCCTTTAAGCATGGCTGCGACGGGCAGCTCCTGGACTGGAGGGGTGACCGTCAGACATGCACAGTAGCAACATCTGGGTCGACTGATTGCGCAGGCAGGCTCAATGCCGGTAAGTGAGGGTTGTGGGCAAGTCAGCTCGACGGCGATTTGTGCTTGCAAACATCTCTGATCGACCCAAAATACACGGAGGCGGCACGAACCAGCCAAAGCCGAGCCCACAGCAGGTTGCTAAGAACGGACCTTACACGTTACGAAAAACTGAGCCCCCCAACTGGTAGGACGCAGGTTGCGACTTTCTGAGCCTTAGAGTGTCCTCCAGCAGATGTCGAAGCCCAAGCATTCGAGATCAACCAGTATAGATCGCCAACGACTTTGCCATGCTGGACCTTTGCCACCTCGATGGTCTGTGGCGCGCTTCGAATGCAGGTGCCACTACACGCGCAGAGGCTGCGGACTGTAGTGCTTGGCCAGAGCATGTCATAGGTGGCAGGTAGCACGACAGAACTGGCATTGGGCTTCGTGATGAATTTCAGATACACTTGGGGTTGCAACACTTTCTGTCCAAAGCATACAGTTGTAGGGTTCTGCATAGATGCAAGCAAATCATTGAGCAATGTGTTTTGTCAAAGCGAGTCAGTCCTCTCTAGTGGTAGCCCATAGGGACAGGCCCGAACAGCAGCAGGTGCATAGTGTCTTGAATCCCTCCGGAAGGTTCTCTTCACAGCTGTGCAGTGCTGCGAAGCATACGCTACTCGGCGCAAATTAAGTCCCCTTTCGAGAGTCAGCCATTTGAGGAGATGAGCCCAGAGCCAGCTCAGATAGGCAGTCCTGGATGATTGCAGGCTTGTTGAAGATGTAGACTCATGTAGACTCTCTGGCTTCTGTAGTATGTCCCCAGTTGTCGTTCAAGAGCATACCACATCAGCTACCTATCGTACATAGCCGATCACCATTCCGCACGGCAGCAATGACGGGCTCATGCTTGCTGAGAGGTCCCAGCCTCAATTACCTAAACCATCCTGAGCTTACTGAGCTTGGTCAAGAAGCGGAAGGAAGTCCTCGTGGTGGCTCAAAGCGACGGACGGCTTGCAGCACGCTGTGCTGCGCTGAGCGGGCAAGAAGACTTCATGTGCCCCGGACCGAAGGGAAAATGTTAGTTGGGCTTGACCGTTGGCCTTGGAATCAGATCGAGGTGACGGCAGGCCTGGCATCGTCCCATTTTTCAGGGACGAAGGTAGCATGTTGCCCACCGATCATAAACCTGGCCAATGCGCGGCGATAAGACATAGCATAGTGCAGCTGGGAAGCCAGTGCCGCATCATTGATTGTTTGGTTCAGGCCAGACAGTGTCATTTTATGCTGATTTTGTCTTACGGCCAGGTTCATCACATGTTCATGCTTCAAGTTATTTCACTTCAGGTTTTCAGGATCATGTCACTTTAATTCGAGAAGGTAGCATGTTGCAGTGACGGTCTGCTCAGTAAACGGTGCTTTGGTGAGGTTTGAAGTAGGCAACGCCCAGCTACTCAACTCCAAAGATGCAAAGCCTAGGTCGGGCGCCCTTTCCCGTCAAATCTTTGCCATGCTCCGAAATCCTTCTGATGTACTGGACCTAGCGAGCTAGCGCCGTAAATTGAACCAAAATTGAGTTGGGAACCCCAGCATCCTGTGTCTAGACTCCCCAACCCGAGCCGGATCTTTTGCGCAATTGACTGCATTCCTTGCCTTCTTGTTGCCGGAGTCTATTGGCTTCTTGGAGAAGGTCGACTTGGCAAAACAAAACTCACTCACCTTCCCCATGAATTCTCCACTCATTGCTCTGACTCAGAGCCTTGGAGCTGAGATATGAGATGGAGCTAGAGCCGAAGGAGCTCGAAAGGATGACAGCTCTGGACCTCTCTCCGGAGGCCGCGATGGCTATGGGGGCCCTCAGACTCAGAACCCTGGGCTACAGAGTGGTGTGTTTTAGGGTTTTGGGGCGACGAGAACTCCAATGATATGACCAGCAGTCGGAAACTTCGCGGGAGCGGGAGGATTAGGCACCCCAGAGTTTGGCAGAGCTAAAGCAGAGCTATAACCGGGGGAGCTTATACCTGACTTCGAAAAGAGCTAGCATCGGTTTGTGTAGTCAGAACAGCGAACCATGCCCCCTCACGCCACAAGACCACGAAGCAAAATCCACATCACTTGTTCAGAAGCCATGCACTNNCCCCCAAAAAAAAAAAAAAAAAATGCTGAGGTGCATTCGACACCAAGGGAAACGAAGATCCCCACCTTCCCTTGTCCCCATCATTGGCCTCTCTGAAAGCAAGCCATCTTCGTTTAGTTCGGCGCCCTCACCCTACAGATCCGAACTGTCAGGCGGAGTACTTGGTGGTGGCCTGCGAGGCGGGGCGGCGTAGTTTCCGACTGTTGGGGCAAAAAACAGAACCGGGAAGGAGGTTGCGAAAGAACTCCGAGACAATCTCTGGTTGAGCTCTGAATGAAACAAATGACATTGGCGGGAGTTGGTCATCACGGACCACCGAACAAGGGATGCGCAGACCGAGCTTTGCCCTTGTGAGCTTCTTGACGTTCGTGGAGGCGTTCCAAAACCCTTGGTGTGGATTGCAGCCCTGTCTTTACCCCTTTCGGTCGAAAGCGAATTGAGGTTCAAGGCCCGAGGCATTCCAAAGTCATTTTTGTTGGATTTGTGCCCTTGCTTGGAGATCCTGACGTTTGAGCTTCAAACTGCACATAGCGGTCTTTTTGGAGAGTTTTGTCGATGGTTCCACTGATTTGCAAGTGCTAGCTAGTCGGAAGGTGAATACCTTGATACGTGTAGGCTGAAGGATCGGTCCCGGTCCGACTAGGACCAAGCTCTGCCAAGCATCTGCCCCGTAATCAGGCCTGCCTGCCGTCGTCAACAGTTCCAACATCCCCACTTGTGCCTTGTTCTGATCAGGCAGACCTGGTGGTATGGCCATTGTTGCTCGGACCATGCATGTATGTTTTAAGCTCGTGGGGCACAAAGATAGACGATGGCACGATGCTTGTTTCCACTGTCGGACGACAAGCCGACAACAAGAATATGAGCATCCTCCGCTTCGCAAACAACATATGAGGCGAGGCTGTGAGATGGACGTCAGAAAAAACCACCTGCTGCATACTCTTTGCAAGGCTTCGGCTGCTTGGAGCAAACGGACCTCGCGAGTCCCCTCTGTTGGAGCTTCTGCAGGCCATCTGAGAGATCGCTAGTTAGAGACAGAGTGTTCGGAACTTCAGCGTCTATGGGTCAGAAGAGTTTTGAAGTTGCAGGGTGCAGTAGTCGACGAAAGACCGGACGGTAGAGGAGGCTGCTAGCAATCGGTCGGTGACGGCATGATAGCGGAAATGCTCTCATGTCAAGCAGCGAAACTGTAACTGTTTCCTTTTTCTCCGGTCGCACCGTGTCAGTCGCAGTGCGTGCAATCTTTCGGATTACCTGCACTGTGAATGGGCGATAGGGGTCTTAAACTTCCGTGCCACCCAGTCAGTCAAGGCCGCAGGGTGGGAGTGAGCGATCCTGTACAGCTGGCCACTTCCCCAAGAAACATTCGGGTGCTTGTGTGCCACTGCGGATCCTCCCAGCAAGCCCGTTCGTTTCTCGCGGTTGGAGCTGGGAGCTCTGCGCCGGAACGCGAAAGGGAATGGGTTTTTTGTCTGAGTCGGACTCCGGCATGCGAGATGCGGAAATAGAGGGTAAAGTGAATGTCCTGAACGTTGCTGGTCGTCGTGAGCAAGATGTCCAAGCTTAAGCTAGACTTATCCCGTCTCATTGCCGTGCACCCCTGGCACAGAGGCAGCCTCCGACCGTCGGAGAGGAGACGAGCGAACTGAGGCAACGCATCCCAAGATGTCATCGCGTAGAATTCCTTGGAAGTTGAGGGTGAGCGCAGGCTTAGGAGTGTAAGGAGCTTTAAGGGTCTATGATGTTCTATCCGAGAAGTCCGACGCTTGCCTCGTAGCAAAAGTTTGAAGGTTGAAGTCACTGCAGAGGCAACTACTCAGGGGTTTAGCGCGAGAATTGGGCTGCCATCAACCCATGTCCAGCTTGTGAGGACAAGAACGTGGAAACTTGCTACTGCTAGTTTCATGTCTGTGGTTTGCTTTGCTGTGGTTCTTTTTTCAGTTGAATGTGATTCACCTGGAAGATTTGACTCGATGTGATTCGACTCGATTTGAACTGCTTTGCTTTGGCTCGGTTTGGTCTCGGTTGGGTTGGCTGGTTGATTGGCTAGTTGTCTGGCTGGTTGGTGGGTTGATTGATTGACAGACTGATTGAGAGAGTCGCTGACAGACGGATTGACTCACTGGCTGGCTGGCTGGTGGACGGACGGACTTACTGGTTGAATTGGTCGATTGAATGATGGACTGTTGCCTCAGTTTGTGTTTGTAAGGGAAAGAGAGAGAGAGAGAGAGAGAGAGAGATAGACCGTCCCCCATGCCCTGGAGAGAGAGAGAGAGAGAGAGAGCGAGAGAGAGAGAGAGAGAGAGAGAGAGAGCGAGAGAGAGAGAGAGAGTGTGTGTGTGTGTGTGTCTCTCG